AGCAGCGGGTGCCGCTCCCCCCGGGCTGCCCCCGGTTCCAGGTCCTCCGTTTTAACTTGGCTCCCGTGCAGAGGGGAGCACAGCTGCCTGCTGCAGGCGTCCTCTCCTCCGGGAGCCCCCGCGCTCCCGTTCAGCGGCTCTTTGCTGCATCCGCGGTTTCTTCGAGCTGCTGAAACTGCGCGGAGGAGCAGCGAGGTCTCCGCCGACCACGCTGACCTCAAGAGAGGCCTTTGCAGCAGCTCTCCTAGGCACCGGTGACAGTGCTGGAGCCAGCCCTGGCTAGAAAGCGTTCAGCTGCGAGACGCTGCCCCCCCGGACCGTGCCAGGCTCGCCCCAGGGGTGCTTACACCCGCTCTGCTCTAGCTGCCGTCCGTAGCACGGGAACGCTGCTGCCCACCACGTTTACTGCTGTGCTGCAAGCAGAGCACAAAGCAAGGCTGCCGAGTGCACACCAGAGAAGGATGAGGATGCAGGCCAAGTGGAAGGTGCGGCAATGAATCTGGGCATACTGATGCAACATCAAGCAGCAAGCTGTCTCCTCAGGAGGAAGCAGCCTGGGCCCTGGGCATTCGGCAGCAGCACCGCCGCTCCCTGCTGGGCACACGGGACTCGAGTCCTGTAGGGCTCTTTTGCAGCCCTTGACAGGCTGGGCTTTCCATCTGCTGTGGTGACCAGCTCGGTTACAGGTCTACAAGCATCCGGGAAGCTCATCTATAGCTCTGCCTCTCTGCAGGTACACTGGGGCAGCCCGTCAAGTCTCCCTGCAGAGGGGCTCAAGCTCAGCCATCCTACCTTTTATTCTGCATTACACTTTACCAGCCAAGTTGAAACTCTCTGCAACATTCCCTTTCATTTTGCATCAGCCAGACTTCCAGCCTGGCCTGTCTGCATCGGGTATTCACAGCTTCTGAGCAGGGAAACGGATGAACGTGCAACACCCCCCCACCTCCCATGGAATGTTGTATGCAGTGGCAGAACTGCTAGAAAGCCTAAAGGGTCAGGATGCTCTGAGAAGGACTAACGCTCCAAGTCCTTCATGTCAGATTTCAGCAAGGTTTTCCTCCTTCCATTCTCTTTAAATCTCCAAAAACTAGTAGCACAGGGCCCTAGAGGAACTTCTGTGTTGCTGCTCAGGAACCATTGGTGATGAGAAACAGGCTGATACAATTCCCAGTCCCACGCCCAGACAAACTAGCCTCAGAGACAGGTTTGCAGCACACCCTGAGCACACTCACTGTGGGCAGTAAGGACCCAGTGGCTGCTGCCAGAGGCGAGAGATATACCCAGACCAAGCAGCTGGGACCAGCCACAGCTCTGTTGGAAAAGAGTTTATTATATAAAGAGGGAAGAGGGGTAACCATCTGTCATGCCTATAGGGTCATACCCGGCCTACCAGCTGAAAGCCTAACACTAAAACTACTTCAACGTTACTAGCACCTTTGGCAGCCTCTGCATCAATACAGAAATGCTTTTCCTGCCTTGCCTGCATTTCCAGGATTCCTCAGAAGACAATAAGCCCATCTTAAATGCCCTCCTTTTACCAGCACTCCTCTGGTATAGCCAAAGGTGGAATATAATACAAGTTATCCAGTCCACCACCCCAGCATGTTGCTCCTACTGCAGCCCCATAAAAGTGGTAGGGACAGCTGGCATGTTCTGTGCAGTTTTCTGGCTTGGGACAGGACTTGGGCTCTGGCAGAAAAGCAGAGAGGCAAGGAACCACGCAGGGACACTGGCGATAAAGAAATCACAGAAAGCAGTAGATGCAGTCTCCTCTTTGCTGCTGTTCTGGGGCTGGCTCCCAAGACTGTGCCTGAAGGAAAGGTTAACCATCTTTCTAGATGACAGGCTGTAGTTCACCTTCTGTCCGATCAGAGCATTGGTCCCTTCTGTCCTTTGACTTCATCCCTTTCCCCAACAGGCCCAGGGAAGAGAGGTGCTGCACTGCCCTCGACACAGCACAGTGCCTGCTCACGCCTGGCCTGGTGCTCGGCACTGTGCCAGCAGCAGGAAGGGTCGAGCAGAGCCACCCTCCGCTTGCTGCTCCCACAACCCTGGCCAGATTCCTCCCTCAAATACTGCGGTTTCAGGGGCAGAAGGGACCACTGCTCCTAGGCCCCAGACTTCACTGCTGTTTCTTGCTTGTAAATTTGAGTCAGACCTGGGAAATTCTCCAGACCAGAACAGCAAGGGTAGCAGTCATCTGGATGTGTTTCACCAAGCAAGTTCTCATTGTCAGACAGGCATCAGGTATTCTCAAGTCCTCCCTGAAACTTCTTTTGTGTCAAGCAAGGACTGACTTTCCTCCTGGGTCTCATGCAGGACAAGCTAGTCGAGACGGGACAAGATGTGAGCCAGCCACAAGCCAGACCAGATGATTCCCTTTAGTCTTGTATTCCAAAGAACTAGGAATGCAACTGCATGAAGCAGCCCCAAACTTTTTTCTAGCCGTTTTCCCCTTCCAGCTGTTAGCAGTGCAACACCTTCAGAGAAACAGGAAGAAAAGAGAAACAGTCTAGAAAATACCAGAGACATGTTAACTGTGCCAAGATAAGGTGACACAGGGCTGTTGTGCTGGATTTCACCAGCCCAGGGGCTCTGCTGGGAGAAACGCTGTCTGGAAGCGACAACCAGCCCACCACAACACAGCCAGAGTGCACAAGCTGAAGCAGAGCAGCCCCTGTCAACAGGCAACACTGCAGTCCAAGGAGGTACAGCCTGATGCAAGGAAAGGTGCTGAGAAGTCCTGCTGCCATGCAGCAGCTCAGCACCTGGGTTCGAACCCCTGCTTGAGTCTAAAGGAATGGTACAGAAGGCGGCTTTCTCTGGAGGAGGTTGGCCTTGACTTCAGCTCGCCTCCCAGCTGCCCCAGGAGCAGTGCAAAGCACAAGGGGAGCATCAGGGAGTACAGTGACACTGAAACACATCCATGGGCGCATGGGAGCAGATTCTGCCCACAGAGAGCATGAAGAGGTGTCAGAGGGAAAAGGGAGCACTCACGATCTCTCCACCTGCCCAACCACCCAAGCTAGGCTAGCGGCAAAAGAGGGACAGCGAGAGCAGTTCATGGTTCCCCAAACCAGCAAGAGCAGAGAAAAGGGGTGGCTGCCAAAGAGAGAAGCGGAGTGTGGTCCAGAGGTTCACACAATCTGTCTCAAAGTCGAGGCGGATGGGAGATGGGGCAGAGGCACTTTGGTCCCTTCCGAGAGAAGCTTTAGGGCTCAGCCCCCAACGTAGTGCGCAGCACTGCGTCTGTGTGGCAGCACCTGCTCTAGCTAATGAGGACAGCAACAAGAGACAAGCTCCGACAGCAGATGCAAGATGGGGCAAGAGGAATCCAGGCCTGGCTCAAACCTTTGAAACCAAAAGACACTCTGAAATCTTTCAATAAATCCTATTAGAAACCATTTCTGCATGGGACACCACAAACACTGCCAGAGTCCTAGAGGTAACCAAGGCTTCTGGACAGTGCCCTTGATGAAGCTCTGATGATGGCGTCACCCCTGCCCAACAGAACGGCAATGCCAGGGACCTGTTTGCACCAACCCCACTACAGGTTAAAGACCCTCTTCTACAGCGTTGCACTGTCCCACAGCTGCTGCAAGCAAAGAGCTGGGTATGGGGGACACCAACACTCAGAGTGAGCGTTTTTCCTTAGAGAAAAAAGAAAGGGCATGGAAGAGACTGTTCAGCACCGTAAGACTACAGCAGTCTGGTCAGTTCTTCTTGCTGCTGGGGCTCGTAGTGTTGAACAGGCTGACTTTGCTGGCAGATGCCACAGACAGAGAAGAAGATTCCAGCTTCACCTTATCCAACAAAGTCTTCTTTATGGCTGCTGGGGAGATCTTCTCTTGGTCTGCCAAATGCTGCAGCTCCCTGCATTGGGGTGGTGAGAGAGAAAGACACAGCAAAAGGAAAAGATGGAGAGGCTGGGCAGCATTTTGCAGGCTCTTTAGGACATCCTAGGTGCCCACCTTGTCCGGATGCAGGAAGCCTCCACAGCATTGATTAGGAGGGAGCGAAAGCCACCGCTCTCCAGGAAGTGCAGGGCATGGATGGTGGCTCCTCCGGGCGAGCAGACATTGTCCTTCAGCTGACCGGGATGCTGCTCAGATTCTAACAGCATTTTGGCAGCACCCTATAGCAAGGAAGAGAAAATAGCTGCCAGAGCCCTGGCTGAGGAAGTGACTGTCAAATACTCCTGCTCTCTGCTGCACAGAGCAGCACCCAACACTCACAGTGGGCCAAACGGGGCTCCTGCCCGAGAGCCATTAGCAGGCTGCCAAAACACTTTTCAGAGCTGAAAAAGCCTGCAGAGGAGTCACGGTTCCCCAGGCCCCAGCTCTCACACCACCATCAGCGCCAGCAGATTGCTGCGGACACTTCCTATGTCCCCTCACCGGGAACCTGTGTGCAGTCAAACCAAACGTTTTTTAAAGCAGATTCAGGAAGAGGACTGAGATAATTTCAAAACGTGATGTGCAGAACACTCTGCACAGAGCAGGCACAAACTCAAATGTGTTCTGGAGGAGGAAATACTGACCAGCAAAGCCTGTGCTCCAAGTCGAACAGCCAGCCTGCGGGGAAGTCCCATTTTCACTCCCCCATCCGCTAGAGCATCCAGGGCAGTGAACGCCTGAGACCAGACAGAAGAAGAAGGTGACTGAAAGTCTCTACTCCAAGACTGATAAGTCTCAGGGAGGAGAGAATCCAGGGCTCCAGAATCACACCGTGATTCCTGTCGCTTACAGACTTGACAAAAGCCTCCCCCTCTCCTCCATGGGTGCCATGCCAGGCCTCCCTCCCACTAATTCCAGCTCAGGAGTGGGGGGAATGGGCGAAATTCAGCTTCTGTGTCATTACTAACGACAGGCCCATGTTTTGCAACATGGACACGTGGACACCACATGCTGGCTATGGACTTCAGACTCATCCGACTGGTAATGGACTTTTGTTGTTGACCCAAACTGGTTATAAACTGGATACCTGGATTACCTGTCCCATCACAAATGTAAACGATGAGAAAAACAAGAAACGACAAACTGAAGTTGCACAGACTTTCACCACATGCAAAGCCTACTGCTCTCCCCAGGACCATGACAATTGAGGAAGCAGCACATACATACGCAGGGCCACTGCCACTAAGCCCCGTCACAGCATCTATCAGGTCCTCTTCCACCTCGGTGCAGAAGCCTACACTGGCCATCAGTTGTTCCAAGAGCTTCCCATCCTCCACATCCGCGTGAGTCCCAGTGGCATAGACTGTAGCGCCTTCCCGGACAATCACAGGGGTGTTGGTCATGCACCTGATCACTTTTGGTGTGGGGCAGAAGGTAGAGAGTTTCTTAGGGCAGAAAATTATTGGAGACAGAAAGAAACAAAGAAAGAAAAAAGAAAAATGAGCTTTCGTGGGCATTCGGCATACCAAATAGGCTGTCTTGGAAGAGACTCCCCAGTGGCAAGAACAAAACAAGCAGAGGGAAAAGAGAGACTCCTGTATTCTAAACTCCCCGCCCTGAGCCAAAGCGGCCAGAACTTAAAGGTGAAGTGTTTAGCAGTGCCCGCAGACAGGAAGCCGGGCAGAGCTGCTGTTGGAAACGATACTCTGAGCGGCTCGTTCCCACATCAACTAACAAGTCTCTAAAACAGCTCATGCAGACACTGAGCACAAAGCCTGCAGAAATTCAGGGGAGATGACCCACCTCTGTTGAGAGAAAAAAGATCTGACAGCACCTCATGAAACAGAGGAGCTGGCATAAAGGGTCTTACAGCACTTTCTGATGCAGACAGGCAAAGGCAACCCAAAGCAGCCAGCTGGCTGCAGCGTGAACCCTGTCCCGGGGAGCACAGGTAACGCCTGTCCTCTGCATCAGCTCCGGGGGCCCGGAGGAGCAGGACCAGCTCCTGCACGGTCCTGCCCTGCGGCGGGCGCCTCCCAGGCACCGAGTGTCCACTACAGCGCGGCTCTGCGGGGCTGTGGGACCCAGCCCGGCCCCCCTCACCTTCTCGATGGAGCTAATGGTGACGCCGGCCGCGCAGGAGACCACGATGTGGCGGGCCTCGATGTCAGGGCCCACCTCCTCCAGGATGAAGGGGATGATGGGGGGCTTCACGGCCAGGAAGAGGACATCGCTGCTCTTCACCGTCTCCTTGTTGCTCACCGTGAAGTTCACGCCTATTTTCTGCAGCGGGGGGGGGAGAAACGGGACCGCTGTCGCTCGGGGAGACCCGTTCGGGGAG